TGTGAAGAGCGTTCCTTCACAGAACTTTTGCTTCAATTCATCGGTAGATTCCAAGGTTCAAAGCCAAGGTATTCACTTGGAAACCAGAAAATTTGCGAGACATGTGGATTCCTTTTCTCATTAGAGGATCACAAGGTGTGTGATTCCGAGATCAAAGTTAGCTCAATACTTTCGAAATGTTTCAAAGAGGTGGAGGATTATGACTTTACACTGAGCTATTCATTTCAAGATCACTTTCCAGATATCTACGAACGTATCAGGACTTGTAAAGACTGGATAGTCTTTTGTCATTTGATGTTAACACCTATGAACTTGAGGTCAGACACAGGAGGTGGTTCTACTAAAAGGACTTATCCTTTGTATGTGTTTGTAATCGGGAGCTTATACCAGATGTAAAGCTTGATAAATTACAAGTGCAATCGGGTAATGTGCCAAACCATTGATTTAGTATTGTCAGAAGACATAGTGAACAAATATATATTGACGTTACATTTTACATACGTATGAACTTCAATAATCTAATAGACCAATGGCTCTTTGTTGTAACCCTCAGATATACCACAGTGGTTTATGGGTCGTCAGTCGGATAACATCTGATGCGGTCGTCCTCTCATACGGTCCATGGAGTCTACTTGACTGCCAATACTTTGTCTCTTGGAATCTCATGAAATAATTCACCGACAGATACACATGCCATCAAATGTGTCACTAGCCATAACACCACCCCCATGGGCTATCAGCAGGGAATTAGATCACCCAATGTGTGTACACCTCAACAGTTATTGAGACTCACCAATGGTGTTATAATTGTGTCTACTTTGCTCATACCAACATTTTATTCCTTTTCACCTTTGGACGGTGACTCAGCATCTGAGCTTGGGCGACTGATACAGGATAATCACCATGGTATGATTCAGAGATGTCGAATGAACATAGCTGCTATGGTGTATAGTCAAAGAACTTGTTGTGATGCTTGGACACAGCTACCGCTTTTAACTTTCATCTTCTGAACTTTGACATGAACAAAGCTGCTGATCACTGCTCTCTCTCGGTTTCCCAGACGCTCTACCTTGAGCCCCACAGTATGCTGCACTCTTTCTTCATCGTGAAGTGTCTGTCTTCCACGATAGATCGAGGTGTTGGTTGTGTTTGTGCAAGTATGAATCGACTATTGTTGTTACTCATTGGGTCTTCTGTAGCTCAGATCATCGAGCCATGGCCACCTTGTGTTA